TTTGCTCTCTTGTACATGTGTTTTGTAGTACAGTATATATATGTATAGATTTCCAATATTGGTCTCTGCGCAACAATGCATTTGATTGCATAATACAGGGTATATCACAGCGTTTTGCTATAAAAATAGTAAGTAAAATGTAATAATTGAAGGAAATCGGTGTATGTTTGCATTGACCGCAAATAAAATATTGAGCTTGCAGCAGGGTATCTCATAGTCAATGATCAAAAGCATAAGCAGATGTGTTAATTTTTCATAATATACATATCTAAAGCGAAATATATGTAAATATAACTGATAAACTCAATGCTTTGAGCCGAGTTGACAGAGGCAGAGGGTATCTTTGGGCCCAGTTGAAGGGGAGACCTGAGAAATGGCGACAAGCCCAAATTAAAAACCTGAGTAAGTGCATATGTATCAAATGTTCGGCGTTAAATTGAAATACATGGTATAAATCAGTCTTGGCACTTAAAAGATTATTCGTCTGTGTCTTGTGTCTGTCTGTCTGTGTCCCTTCTGGCAGTTGATGCTGCTGGTGGGTGAAGAGAAGGCAATGACAAAACTTCGTTATCAGACGCAGACACACACTTACACCCACATCCACACAGTCGCACCACAGACCCACTCTGGCCCAACTTTAATGCAGTCGGCTCACGAGCTGACAAAAATGTTCAGCTCCATCAAAAAAGGAAAGCCAAATGCATACGAGGCTCCCGGATGGCTGCAATCTTTTTGGCCTTCAACAGACGCGAATAAAGGGCAAATAGCCTGGAGCGGCAAAAGGTGCAGACAAGTTGCCCTTCCAATTGGAAAAAGCCTATTGGCGACTGCAGCAAGCTGTCAGCCGACAGACAGGATGGCAAAAAAGCACGCCCCATCTTAAATATCTCATTCAAAGAGCTCAATCAGCTCACACACACGCATACACACACAAACACGCACACACTGACATACGCACGCATGCAACATTGTTGCACGCTGGAAACGAGGCGCATGTCCCACAACCAATTTGTGCGATTTTATGCCCTGCACGCAGTCAAAGTACCGCCGAATGGGGTATACGTAATAATAGTTTCTTTAAATTCTAATGAGAATATCAAAAAGGATGAAAATATATATTAACAATATGGATGCATTATTAATCGATTAATAATGTCAGAGCTCGATCAAAAATTGATAGATATTAACAAATTTATTCATACATATATACATACATATGTATCGATTAATGCACAAACGATAAATCTTACTGATAAAATACATATGTAAAATTTTCAGTTTGTAAGAATATATTTTAATATACTTAATTAATTGAATAGATGCAATGATCGATGATAATCTGTTATGACTCATATATATTAAATTTATTTGAGAACCGATTATTATCGAATATCGATTATTATTATTAATAATATATTATTTTCAACACACACATCTATTTATACATATATATATTTATTTGATATATTTTCTTTGATTATCACACCCGATAAATATCGAAAGTCCGCTGAATGCCAGCATCTCTTTCAGTAGATCCTGGCCACATATGTGTTTTGCACACCCACTCTAGGGTAGCTCCCTAGTCGTTTGATCTCATTTGGCGCAATATGATTCGTTTCGTTTCGGCTTTGTTGGTTTTTCGGTTCGCGCTGATGTTTGCTTTGCGCCACGACAGGTGGCGCTT